AAAGTAAAATTTGTTAAGCTATTGGTTAAAAATCTTTGTAAAAGCCTTTCTAATAGATTTTAAAAGAATGATAGGTCTAGTGTTATTTAAATTATAATTTTATAATTTAGGCTTAAATATCAGATAAATATGAATCAAATTCTATTAGGCTGGTATAGAGTCAGATTCAAAGCATATACAAATTAGTTTGAATAAGAATTTATTAGCTTAAGAACTCATTTTTTTTAAAAGCTCATTAAAAATATTAGAAGGATCTGATGCCTTATTATCAGGTAGATACTTTATAATAAATAATAATTTATCATATGTTAGTAAATTGTATGCATTATCTTTTATGTAATGTAAAGGTTAATAGAATTCATCCTAAAAAGGTCATTATTATGAGAGGTTAAGAAAAAATAAATTAGTTACTTTTCTATTTTGAGATTTAGTAATTGTTTAAAGTATTAAACAGTAGTATCTTTGATTTTAACAGAATCTAATTTAAGTTATGACTTATTATAATCATTTTTTACTAGTACTCAATCAAAAAAATCATTTGTTTAGTTAATTTCAAATATAAATTGATCATTTTTAATATAACATCTTTATAGTTATCTATTCTTTATTTAATAAAATTTGTTATTCTCTTGTTATTATTTTTTGAAAAAATTTTCAGTTGCTTTTTAATGATTTGATTATTAAACATTTCAATTCTTTGTAATACATACTACTATTTTTTTAATAATATAGAATATCTTAATCAGCTGAAGATATAAAATTCTTAGATAATATTTTAAGAATTTTTTATACTTTTTAAGATTGAGTTGTTATTATTAATTGAGTCGCCATTGTTTTCTAAGAAATTCTTAGTTATATAATAAGACTTATATAATAATTTAATTTATTTATATATAGTTGAATTATTAAATATGTATAAGAAACAGTAATTGATAATTAATGTATATTTTGGGATGTGCTTATTAATAGCTTTCATAAGGAATTGAGCAAAAAATTTTTAAGCATTATTAATTGTTAACTAGGATTAATACAAATTATTAGATTCATAATTTCAGTATTTACTTGAATCTTTAATAAGCTTATCTAATTTATCTAAATATAAATCCTAGTGAAAGAAAGCTGTTTTACTAAAATCAAAAGATTTTTTGATAGTTTAGTATTATTTGCTATATGTAATAGAGAAGTTATTAAAAATATTATTCTTGTATAGTGTAATTTGTAATGTATAATAATCAGATTCATAAAAAATAGAGAAAGAATTGAAGATTTTAAAAGAAGTTAAATTATATAAAGTAAGAATGTGATGAAAATGTAATTAATGTGCAAACATTAGAAGTTTAGTGTTATATATATATAAAGTAAAGATTGATTAATTCTTTTTATAATAAAAGCTCAGTTAATATCCTTTATACTCACCTTCTATACAATCATATCATATAAATCAGTATTGAAAAATTAGACAATTTTAAATAGCTTTGAATAGATTTTGAACACAATTTCATATGTTCAAAACCTTTTTTAAAATCAAAAAATGTGTTCAAATCCCATTACTAATATAAATCCTTTGTTATAAGCATACTTATCATCATTATATAAAAGACCTCTTCTATAATCACAATATTTTTATAGTCATATTCTTTTGGAATTAATACTTAATAATATTATAAAAATCCTTCTATATAATAACTTTTTATTATAGTTACACTTTTTAATTTAGTCTCAAAGAATGTAATAGTAAAAGAAGTTAATTGTATTTTTTTTTAAAACAAGTAAAGAAGAAGTTTATTGTATTTATTTTCAAAACTTGATTGTTAAATTTGTTATTATAGAAATTATTTTTAGAAGAATTTTATTTATATTATTATCCTTGAAAATAAATTTACAAAATTGATTTACATACGATCTACATCAATTAAATTGGTATTACTGTAATTGATCATTAAATTAATAGATAAATTAAGTAATAAATGATAGATATAAATTAATTATTTAAAATAGTAATAAAATTAATTTACAAAATAGATCTATTAATGTCATAGTATATTTAATTCATTTTATTTATTTATTTTATTATATTAATTTTATCTATTTTATTTATTATCTTATTTTTTTTATTTAAATTGTTATAACATTATATAAGATAGTTTTTATATAAATAGAAATAGTTTAAAATTAAGTAATGATAGGTTTTCTTAGATTTTTTAAGTTTGTTTTAAGTTTATTTAATAGTAATAAATCTTTTAATAAATAAAACATTTAATATAGACATGCTGATAGAAGTAAAACTATAATTATATTTATTAATCATTTATTTTATACATATTTTATTGTACTTTTTTACACTAAAATCTTTAATTATTTATCTTATCTTTTTTATAAAATAAGCTTTTTACTTATACATATATAACTTATCTTAGTCAAGTAATTTAAAGAATTAGCATAACAATATACTCAGAATTTAATTTAAAACTGATATGGAAATAATATGAAAATAATAGAATAGGTATTTTATAGTAGTGATAAGTAACTAATGTATCTGATTCTATTTTATAATAGTAATAATTTATAATTATTATCTATACATCATATTTGTAATTTATAATACAATATAATTTAATAAAATTGATAAAAATTTGAATTTATTTATAAATATTATATAATATAAATTCTCAAAGATCTTTGAATTAAAATTTCTACTAAAAATTAAAATCAAAGAATCTAAAAGAGTAAAAAAGGATCTGAATAAATTCTTTTATTTATAGGAAATAAGAATTCCATATGGATTCTGAATAAAAATATTAACATTTATTACTTTTTTTAAATAATATAACCTTCAATTTTTTATTATTAAAATATTTATAGATAAATTATCAATATTATTAAAATTGATAATATTGCTACTTGATTTATATATATTAAATATAATATTAATTTAGAAATATCTGCCCATTTATGATTATGTGATACTTATTTTTTAATATTAAATCAAATTATATTTGATATCAAATCTCAGATAGTACTATTAGTTTTAACTTATTATTTATTTTCTCATTTTACAAAGATTTTATAACCAATTCGATATTTTTCTGAATTTTCATTTTATATATCTAAACGATGAATTTAGTTCACTGATTAATATTATTATAGATTAATACCTACTTTTTAATTTAATAATTTTATATTTCTAATTGATTTATTAAAGAATCTAATAATATTTTTATATTTTTAATAATATAATTAATATCAAAAAAGTAAATATAATATTATTTCTGAATAAATTGGAAAAAAATGACAAAGCAAATAATTGCCTTATAAATAATAATGAATTTCTACTTACAATTAGAAATTCTAGATTTAATTTGCTTTTATATATAGATACAAATAGACAGATTTTTAAATCAGTTCTGACATATTCTTTCTTTAATCTTAATGATTTTAGTATTTATTAAACTAATTTCTTTGAATTTAAAGAAGGAATTGAATGATAATTGGATAATTTAATTATTATATAAATTCTATTATTAGAAGATAGCTAACATTTTACTTAGATTTTAGATTGTTTAGTTTTTATTATTTGTAATTCCATTATGTTCTTCAAAATAATCTAATTATCTTAATAATATTATTAGTAGAGCCACATCATAAAAATAACAAAGATTTATATACTGATCTATATTATTAAAACTATTACATTTGATTATAATTAATTTATTATTTTATTATATTATTTATTGGTAATTATTTTATAATGATTTTAAATTATGTAAAAACATTTGTCATTTTTAATATTTAAGTAACATTTTAATTAAAATACTAAAAATTTTATTTATTTATATTGGATTAATTATTTAAAGTTTAATATATAAGAATAATAATTAAATAACTAACTTATATAATTTTTTATAATCAATTATTTAAATCAGAGATTACTAGTAAGTTTTAATAAATTATAATTTAATTAATTAAAATTTATATGTAAAGTATATGTTAATTTATAAATAAATTAATCTTTTAATTATCTTCTTTACTAAGTAATCATACATACCTATTTATTATATTATAACTATTAATTATTACTAATTCTAATTTACGCCTAATCTATTGCAGACTTTTTATTTTTATAATTATAATCGAAACTTTTTTTATTGTTGTAAATTCAGCCCTCGGAATGCAACGGCCTTTTTTTTTTAAACATTCGACTCAAAAATTTAAAATCACACATTTTCTTTATTTTCGGAATACCTAACACATGTAATTGGATGTAGGGGAATTTAGGGTCGATCTAATACGGTTAAGTTTGGACAAACAGACTTATGGTATAACAAACAATAAAGCCCAAAACAAAACATTATGGCAAAATAACGTTTATCCTCGAATCATTTCCAAATTCATTTAAAGATTAAGAGATGATTATTTGATGAAAAGGTGAGGGAATCAAAGAACTGTCAATAAATCTATAATCATTGATCGAAACGATCTAAATTTACTTATTAAATATTTTGCTTAGTAAAGAAATATACCAGATTTGAGATTTTTTTTTTTCGTTTTGATGGTTTTTAATATTCTTAAGTGAATGTGGGATGATGTCAAGAATGTTCTTTGTTCACATTTGAATGATTTCCTCTCCATTGATGTAATAATCAATAAATGCGGAGGAAAAGATAAATCAGTTAAAACAACTTTATATAGCCCAAGAATTTCTTTATTCACGATGATTTTCATTCGTTCTTTTTAACTTTTGCCTGATATATATATTACTAAAAATATGGGAAACCCCTCTTATAATAAAACTAAAAGGTGTGTAACATGATTTTTTTTTAATATAGTATTGTTACCCTAATACCCGATGTGACCCCAATATATTTATATTTATTTAATAAAAGTGACTCATTAAGAACAAAAAATTAAAGCATTTTTTTTTCAAAATACTCGCGTGCCTCTTCCCTTTTAACCTTAAACATTCCTTGCTTGTATTATTACTATACCACCCACTGCTTAGCATGTCCTCCCAAGCCTTTAGATCAAGAAAGACATCCTCACCTAGTTATCCTACACCAGCTCAAAGCCATTCTGGCTCTTCTGAGGTTGGTTCTCCTTTGGATGATATAGCTCGTCAAAGAATGTCAAAGAAGGATGAGGTAATGACCCCATCACTGTCGCAGTGTGTGGACATGAGAAGGCCAAACCCATCCTACAAAAAGATTGCATGCCTTACTCATAAGTTTTTTTTATTCTCCAATTTCTGTACCTATCATATTATTTAGGCTATCCGAAAAAAAGTCGAACATGAGTTGAGTAAGAAAAATCGGACAAAAAGCTTGTCATTAAACCGCGGAAAACCACAACGCCCAGTTACAGGTGCTAAAGGGACCGTTGCGTCTCTTAATCCATCACAGGCACTAACCGTGAGAGAAAGTGCTTTGGTTGTTGAAGCGTCACAACTTATGGCAGCCAAACGTGCAGACTGTGTGCTTGTTATAGATAGCGAAGAACATTTATCCGGAATTTTTACTGCTAAAGATTTGGCTTTTCGGGTAGTTGGAGACGGTTTAGACGCAAGAACCACAACCGTAGCAACAATAATGACGAGGAATCCAATGTGCGTAAAAAATGATACTTCAGCAACTGATGCTCTTAATACAATGGTTGCACGTGGGTTTCGACATCTTGTATGTATACATTTGTTTCATTTAATCGTTCCTTGATGTCTGATAAGATCCAAAATTAATTTTTAAAATCTTAATTATTTGTTAGCCCGTATGTAACGAAGAAGGTGATGTTGTCGGACTTCTCGATATCACTAAATGTCTTTATGAGGCATTGGATAAAATGGAACGAGCATATGGATCATCCAAAAAATTATATGATGCACTTGAAGGGGTTGAAAGAGAATGGTCAACAAATCAGCCTACTCAAATCGTTCAATACATGGAAATGTTACGTGAAAAGATGGCTTGTCCGGATTTAACATCCGTTTTGGACGGTTCAATGCCGGCCGAAGTTGGTGTTCGAACATCAGTAAGAGATGCAGCTAGATTAATGAGAGAATTTCGTACAACAGCAGTATTAGTCATGGAACATAATGCGATTGCTGGTATCTTTACTAGTAAAGATATTGTATTGAGAGTCATAGCAGCTGGGTTAGATCCTTCAACATGTAGTGTAGTAAGAGTAATGACACCACATCCTGATACCGCACCACCACATACAAGCATTTTAGAGGCATTGAAAAAGATGTACGGTAAATATCGATTGTCCCTTAATTATATTAAATGATGTGATTTTACGTATTCTCCTGTATTAAAACAAGTCTGCAAAGTATACGCACTGCATACTTGTCATCCTGCAGGAGAATATAGATTTTGATTAATCTAAATATCATTGTAAATGAAAATATGTTCACTATGTTCATTTGCCTATGAATTAATCAACAAAGATAGCATAGCATCATTATATTATATTTTGTGTATCATCATTACTTATAACTTCAATTATATAGACGGCCATTATCTAAACTTACCAGTTGTTGACGGTTGCAACATTTTAGGGATGGTCGATGTATTAAAGTTGACATATGCCACAATGGAACAGGTTAATATTACAGTTTGATTATTCTTTATTTTTCTTTAAAATATGAATGTTTAAATTTAATTTTTCTTAATAGATGTATTCAATGCAAAATCAGGAAAATGGCAATGACGGAGGTGGTCCAATGTGGAATAAATTCTGGAACTCTCTTGCTAATGATGGTGACAATGAATCTACAGTATCAGATTCGATTGCTCCATCACAAAGCGTTTCAAACATCCCACCGCCATCACCAAATTCAAGAATGCGTGGATCAGGAAACATCTCTCCAATCCCCGAAATCCACCCAAGCGAATCAGCTTCAGCTATTGATGATGGTTCTTTAGCGTCATTTCCACATGGTCACGACGACAACTTTTTTACCTTCAAATTCAAAGCACCTAATGGCAAATCGCATCGTTTCACTGTTGATTATACAAATTTTGAACATATTCGAGCTACAGTGACTTCCAAACTACCTTCCAATGTCAGAGATTTTAATATCTCTTATGTGGATGAGGATGATGACCACGTTTCAATGTCAAATGATGATGATGTTGTCGATGCCGTTAGAATTGCACAACGACAGGGCATGAGTCGTGTGATTTTACATATTCAAGAAATAGAGAAGAAACCATCATCAAGATCTTATAGGGAAGAATATGATGACGATGAAGATGAAGAAGATGACGAAATCCTCGATAAGAGACGACGTAAAAGACGAAGCAAACATGTACCAAGTTATAATTTGCCTATTCCACATGATTTATTGTTGCCCGGAGCTGTTCTTACACTTGCAGTTGCGATTATTGGTGTATTTGCATTATCCAGATCCAAATAATTGAAAATAATACTATGTTCATTACACATCAAGATTGATGTGTTATTAAGTTGCTTAATGGTCTAAGTAATAAATAATGGTAATGATTGGAGTTTAGCTCATAGTTTCTAATATAAGTTTTAGTGCTTTTTAACAATAAATATGTGAAGTGTTTATTACCTTCCATATTAAATGTTTTTTAGCATTATAAGTACAAAATTACGCATTCTTGAATTCGTTACTATTGCTTGGATATTGCAGTGAGAATAAAGGACAATTAATGTGGGTTTATTTGATGTTTTAGAATTTGCTGTATATTTTTACAAAAAAAAGGAATGAAAAGAAGGAAGAAAATATCTATTTATTATCACACATTTCTCATTAGTTATATAACCATTCACGTTAGTCTTTTAGTATAGATTAGTTTATAATAATAATATCATGATATACTTCAAAAAAAATTTTTTTTTTTAATTATTATTTCACTTATGCCAACGTTTTTTTTATTATTCATACAATAATACCATTTATTATTTTTCTATTTGCGTTTTCTTATGTAAATTTTTTTTTAAAAAAAAAATAAGTTGCGTTTAATTGTTCTTTAATTATTTATAAGCTTCTTTTTCTTCTACATATAAAAAAAAAAAAATTAATATCTGAAAGTATATTTCTTCATTAACAATAAGACTTTGTGTAAATCAAACAGTAATTATATCATGCATAAAAAACACCCCCACTCTTTTTTAATTAATTTTTAATTTTGTTACCCTTATTTTTTTTTTTTTTTATTGTTTAAATAAATACCTATTTAAATAGGTATAATTTTAAAATTTTAAAAGATCATTCTTAAAAAATAAATTTTTAAAATTTCTTTTATATGAAATCAGAAACCTTTAAAATTGACAAAAAATGTATGTATGTAATATTGTTTTTTTTTTATTAATTGATTCATAAATTTCAAAATATTAACTTAAATTAACTTAAAATTACTATCTAGATTGATTTTCAAAGACTTTCCAAATCCCAAATAACTAACTTCCCATCTAATCCACTTGTCGAAAAATGTTTTACATTTCCATGTATTTCCGAATATGGTCGAATCGAACTAAATTTTTTTTAAAAAAATTAAAAATTTAAAAATTCAACGCATTTATTTAATATAAATATAACAAAAATTTAGCGGACATTACGTGATCGTATTTTGATGAATAGTATTCAATTCAGAGTCGTCATTACTACCACGAGAGGATATACCTTTCGTATCCCAATCGCGGAACATATTAAAAGCAGTTGATTCGCCCACAACTTTTTTCTTTCCTAAATCAATTACTCTTGACAGTTTCCTAATAAATAATAAATTTAAAAATTAAAAATTTAAAATTAAATCATTGCTTCATAGTTTTAACCTACCATCCTTCGTTAGTATTTTCGAATAATACGGGTGTGAAATCATAACCAGCTGCAATGATATTTTTTTCAGATGTCCAAATTAAACTTAAATATGGTAAACTAGTCAATCTAACACTTTGAATAGCACCTCCGGGATAAGCAATACTGATTGCAGAATCGTGACCTGAAAAAGCTAACGCGTCACCACTTGGTGAAAAAGCAACACTATGAATCCATCCACCACTACCATTGGAAAATTCACCGCATATAGTATTGAATGGAAGTTTGTCACCCCAGGCTGTTGGTGGTGGTCTAGAGTGAATTAATAATATACATATTATATATAGACATCTTTCATTTGTTATTATATAAACATGAATCATCACTTAGTTACTTTTGATCAACGCCGCCTTTAATAAAAGCTGAGAAAACACGTGCCTGTAAACAATGACAAATTAGAATATTCGAACTAAAAAAAAAATTAATAAAGGAAACGAACCTTAAAATCGGCACTACCCGCAGCCAAAAGTACATTGTTGGGATGCCAATCAAGACTTAATACAGTACTTCTAATTGGATTTTTCAGATGTTTACTAGTCCACCAATTATGTTCTTCATCAAAATAGCATACAGCAATAACGCGCGCTCCTGACGCAACAGCGAATTTATTTTCAAGTGGAGACCAACGAACAAACGTTGCAGCACGATTAATTCGAAGCAAAACTAAAGTCGGTTTCCACTCATTTGTTTCTGGTTCAAAGTTCCATACATAAGTATTCCGATCTTGAGAACTTGTAACTAAAGAATAAAGATGGATTCAACGGAATAGTCAGATTAAAACTCCATTATTATGAGTAAAAAAAAATGATAAATTACGAACCCAGTCGATTTGATTCCGGAGCCCAATCGATTCCTGTTACAAGTTTATCGTGCTTAATAATTAAATTTCAATTGAATTGAATTAATATCTTTTTAAAAATAATTTTTGATAGTTTTGCAAAATTTTTGAGTACGAACTTCAGCTAAAGTATGTATTAAATTCCAGCCTTTACCAGCCTTTGTATATATTTGTACTTCATTATTATTAGGACAAACTGCAACCTCTATTAAAAAGTATCATTTTGAGATCTCAAAGCTACAAATGAAAAACAAAAAATTTAAAAATTTAACCAACGTGTCCGGTCTTTATTGAAAGCATGGGCCGTGATGGGACCAAAGTTAAGTTGGTGAATCTCGGTTGGAGACATTTCCGTTAAAAAATAAATGTAACAATTTTTAGAAATGGCGCAGTCCATTTATAATAGAATATCAAGTTCACGTGATCTTTAGTTTGCATTAATATTTTACGTGTGTCACTCGGGTGACAAATAGTGGCGCAGTCATTGTCGGCAAAACATAATTGCATTTTTTATAGTATCAAAAAAAATACGATAAATGCGCAGTACTACATTCGGAAATTTTTGGAAGAATTATGACACTAAGGAACTTATCGATTATTTGGAAGAACTTAAGGAGTCGCATTTCGAGTATTTCGTGAACAGGAAATTGCCGGTCTTGACTTTCCTATTATATTGTTTCAATATATCGGAATACCTACATGTCCAATGCAGAATATATCGAGGAAAATTGAGAGGGGTTTTCGACTTATAAACCATAAAAGAATTAAAAGTGGTCCTAACAAAATACAAGGTTAATTGCGAAGATATTACCAATATTAAAAATACAATCCAGGTAATTTGGCTTCTCAGATGCAGATTCGGGCAAGTCTAAGATTTAATAACCCATTTTTTTCTTTGTTAAGTCTCCGAAGAAATCGACGATAGTGATGAATTGTTCAAATCACTGTATGGCGCATATTATACTAGTACTAAATAATATAAACACTATCAGCTATAACCGACGCAAACTAAGCAACGCGATGCGATTTTTTTTCGTGTATTTTACATAATTCAATAGCTATCGTTAGAAGGCTCACTGGTAAAGGAAAATTCTATTTAGCACTACAAAAGGATGTTTCTGGAGAAGAATCATCGGGGCGGGTATATTATGCGATAAAAATGTTGGAAACCCTCGTTTGTATTCTTGAGCGTAATGTGAGAATAGAGTGGGGGAAAAGATAGTGAAACTAAGTTGGTAAGAACCTGCAAAATATTAAACAACTTGAAGAAGTCTCCTATCATATGAACAAAAAAAAACCGGAGTGCTGACCAAGTATTTGAGGAAGATGATTACGATTATCTATACGGGATTAGCCACAGAATGCCATTTTCTACTAATGGTATTTTTTGCTCAAGTTTGAAATTATGTTAATTATAGCACAATAATAAAATCAATTTTTTTTATAATATTACACACAACAAACATTAATTACTAAGATTTATAATAAGTATTGATATATATTGCACTTTGTAGCAATTAACTCATTTGAAAAAGAGATAACTTTAATATTCTTGCGTTATAAGAAATTGGGAATTAGCCACGTGGAAAAAACGGACATTAACGTTCTTCAGTCATTTTTTATTATATTCTTATTACAAAATAATAAATTTAACTAAAATTTGCTTGATATTTTCTAGTGATTAGATTAATTATCCGTTGGATAAATCCATAAATATCTAAATATCCGGCCAAAAAATTTATCAACGGATAGAAAGAACGGGATATTCATCCGGTTAATTATTATTCATCAAGATAGTTTAAAATAGTTTAAATTAAACAATAAAAGCGGCTTGTTTTTTTACAGACAATCTTTTTTTTAAAAAAAATAAAAAAAATATTAATTACGGAAGTGAAGCCATTATAAAATGTAAAAAAAGGAGGTTCTAGAAAAAGAAGTTGGGTTTGGAATTATTTTAAAGAAGCAGATGCCGAAATTGATGATATTACTTGTGGTCATGTAGACTGTACTGATTCCGGTACAAGTAATTTCATTACATATCTTAGTAGTGCACATTATAACAAAAAGAACAATCAAATAATAATCCGAATTTTAATATGTATAATCCTCATCAAAAAGAAAAAATTGAACGTGTTCTTACTAAATTTATTGTTAGTGACTCTCAACCATTGCATATTCTTAAAACCCAAAGTTTTATTTAATGCATGCTCGATTCCCTCCATTGGGATCTTCCTTTCATGAAGTTAGAAATAACTGAAGTTCCGCTTGATTGGGATCTCTCCTAGTAGAGGTGGAAACTGGATATATGGTATCAACTTTTTTCCAAATGGACATACATCTGGTCTGCTAACTAAAAGCTTCTTCTCAATGCAACTCTATGAAACAGATGTTCACAAGAGAGCACGGTGAACGCCTTGAAGAAGAGTGCCAAAATATTGTTCGTACATTCGGAACATGGTCCTAGCTCCGGAATTTCTTTATCTCTTACAAGGTTGTCATCAAGATTTTTTAGGATATTGTATTCCAGGTTTCTAATATTCGAAAGAAAAGGTCCAAATAAACTTTTCCAAACCGATATATTGCTTTACCAATATCTCTTGTCAACACGATTCAGCCAGCTCGTATTTATAGTGTAAGTAAATAAACGATCTTCACTAGCAATTACACACATTTCGTCGTCATTCGTCAATCCCCTTGCAATACACGAATATTGTTTTATTGATATGATAATAGCGTGACTGGAGACATAACGAAGTTTCTAAGCTAATTACTGTGATAATTTTTCACACCACAGATCACATATTTTTTTGCGATACAGATAATAAGTTTTTTATTAATTCGTTTTGCAACTGCTTATCTTTCAAATTTGCAACTCTAGCCTTAATCTGCCTTAATCTTATCGTTCTCAGCCTCAAAATCAGTAACACATTGCCTCAATAAGTCTATCTCAGATTGCATGCCTGCGTATTATAATAATTTTAGGATTTGTTTAATATCAAATATTACGTTCTATTCCCTCAGCACTGAATATCTTCTACGCATTCAGGTCAAATGATTGAATCTATGCTTTTACCGATACTATTGGGACACATACCTGAAATTGCGTAATGTCTCGTCCGAAACTTCAAGTAGGTTGCAATATATATATATTGCAACCTACTTGCATTAAACTGTTACCTAGTTATGAGTAAATTGTTACCTACTTTGAGTATACT